TCCTTCCCCGTTGTGCTCGGTCGCGGGAAAATGCTCCGCAGTTTCCAGACAAAGTTTACTAATACTTTATTTTCTTGATTAGTAAATTTACTATTACCTAGCAAATTCCAGAGAGAGCCCAGGGTGGTAATTCATGCTTGGCTGTAGCAGATATTCTGAGGGATGATTAGTTCTCTAAAGTCACACTTCATAAGAGCTTGAATTCCCAATCCGTGATTAAGCTTTCCATCTGTTTAACTGAATACCGGAAGTAAATAAAAAAATTTAATATTGTAATTTTGACAATTCTAAATGATAGACCACCCATTTGACCATTCTTTTAAAAAGTCAGGTTCACATAAGTTTTTTTTCTTCAATAAATGCAAGATTATAGTACTGTTGAATTTGACATTATTTTTCTCTTCTTGAACACTAATTAGGTTACCTTGAATCTAGGGAGTCCATTGCTAAAGCATTCAGTGAACCAACAGCACCAGTGGATGCGAAGGTAGGTATTCTATGCGCATAATATTAACATTTAATTCAACACACACAAAAATTCACAGTAAAAAATAAAATATTTCAGACACCTGTAAATCTGTTTGTTTACCTTTCATGGATGTACGGTATTTATATTAACTTGGAAACTCTTTTGTAATTCAGCTTCGATGGAGTTTTAGGCATGTCATTCAAATATCATTCTGACCAATAGCATGACATCAGCTCATCTCAAAACAGGATTCTGACCAATAGCATGGCATCAGCTCATCTCAAAACATCATTCTGACCAATAGCATGACATCAGCTCATCTCAAAACAGGATTCTGAACAATAGCATGACATCAGCTCATCTCAAAACATCATTCTGACCAATAGCATGACATCAGCTCATCTCAGAAATCCAACAAGCTTTATTTTGATGTTGCCAACCACTAATAAATATTCTGAAAGCAAATGCGCTTTTGATACTTTAATATGTGTATCTTTGAAGGAACATTGCAAAAACAGAGCCTTTATGTCATTTAATTGATTAGCAAAAACACTTTGCGAAATAGTGCACATTGTCCAGCTGGGTTAACTTATTCTAAATGAAAAAACTTTTGATTGTGGAAAGGTGAATTTAATATGGTCATCAACTGATGCTCAGATTTGCACTACCGGGATGTGCAGACAAAAAGTCATGCTATTTATCCCCAAAAGTCATGGTGCTATAAGTATATATTTAGGGAATCAGATTCAAAATGGCCGTCTGGTGGCAGTTTGATCAGATTCAAGATGGCCAATGGCACCTATTGTAATGTTAAGAATTCATCAAAATTCAGCATTTCTCCCATTACAGAACCAGATCTCGGTTGAATGGATTGTTTTTCAAACTTGTTTCATACATTGTAAAACATCAGAGCTTGATGCACATCATTTTGTTTTTCTAATCGAATTCAAAATGGCTGACTATCACTTATTTTGTTTTCATGAATTTCATTTCAGACATTTCTTGACTGATCATGTTCAGACTTAAATTATAAATCAGTTCACACATATTTACATGTATACAACAACCATACTATTTGAATCACAGAGGGACTTGATTTGATTCTGTTCCTGACCTAGGTGGCTACCTGCCCAGGCTAGGCAGAATTAGGCGGCTAGCCGCTATGCTCCTGCCTGGATTTTATACCTAGGTGGTATCTAGGCAGCTGGCTGCTGAAAGCCGCCCAGGTGCTCCTGCCTAGATTTTCTGGGCAGCACCTCAGCAGCTGAGCTGCAGGGAGTCCATTTTCATAAAGGTAATGTTAAAATCTTATCAAAATCAAGATTTTTGCAATTCAGGAATACAAACAGATATTATTAAAACTTGGTGCACAGGGTACATTATAGGATCTTGATACATTTTGTTTTCAAATCAGATTCAAAATGTCCGACTGGTGGACATGAATGCTATTCCAGAGCCATATCTATGACATGCTAAGACTGTGTAAACTTTATTTTTTGAACTTGATAACTTACTGGGACTTAATATCGCAATTTTAATATATATTTATTTGGGTTTTATATTCAGGGATTTTCATTAAAACATTTTTTCTTTTGTTCAGATTTATAGAAGAGTTTGGTGGATTTCAGTGAATAATTAATGTACCAATAGTTACAACAGTTCCCTCTATTAAAATAAAATTCTTCACAACTTTATAATAAGAAGTACCTTCTTTTTCCCCAGGATGTGATTTTGACTAGTGGTTGTTCGGGTGCCTTAGAGCTTGTTATAGCTGCACTAGCCAACCCTGGACAGAACTGTCTCATACCAAGGCCTGGATTCTCTATTTACGAAACCTTGGCTCTGTCACTCAGCATTGATGTCAAGCGGTATGAACTATTGGTAAGTCTGTACTGTAAAATCTGTATTAGAAGCCGCGGTTTCTATTAAAATGGTACAATGCAACAGAGGGTATGAGGTTTTTATTAGAGCATCTACATATACGAGAAATCATGAATATTTGGTTCTCAAGTGTTCAAAAAGAATGAGTGCAACTTCTATTTGGGATGTGGCTACTAATATAATACCAGTACTATCCCTGGGTTTGCCATCTATAAAACCATTGCTCTCTCAGTCAATTGGATACAGTAATATCATTTTTTTTAATTTCATTTTAACATTTGTGCATATTCACTAGGTATAACATCAAGTTTCATAATTTTTTAAAAGTTCCTTCACATTTTTAGTTTCAAATTACCATGATTTTAGTGAAAATGAAGTTAAAAATGAATTGGATGCCTTATTGCTGCCACTAATGCTGTCTGTAATGTATACAGAGTGAAAAAAGACACCAATTACCTTGAGGCAGTGGATTTTATTTGCATAAACATGCTACCAGCAAAAGTAATCACTCCATTAAACACTCACTCCGAGTGTGTTAAATAAATGTTACAAAAGATATAAATATAATAAACTGTATTTTTTGTTTATTCACAGCCAGATAAAGACTGGGAAGCAGACATCGAACATATGGAGTCGCAGATTGATGATAACACAGCGTTCATTATCGTCAATGACCCGTCAAATCCATGTGGTTCCGTTTATTCCAAAGAACACCTCTTACAAATACTAGCAGGTGATTTGCTTGACATTTTGCTGATATAAACAAAATGGATGTTGTTAAAACGGGAGTGTCATCACCTGCGCACACGTGGGGGTTGAGTCCCAAGCGACGATAACAACACACGTTAAAAACGCAAAGGCTCATGGGTAGATGCTTGTTTGTAAACAATGACACGCTATGGACATCTGACGCATGCGCAGGTAACGACTCCCTTGCTTTAATACCACTTACACTATTAAAACAATTATAGTTTAAGGGTTGTATTACTTTCTTCTGCGAGGAGACGAAAACACTAGACATGGTAAGAAGTCTAAAATCATAGAATATGAATGGACATGTAGATATACCACTGAATTGGTTTACTCCTAGACACCGAATAGTTGTTACTCTGAAACTGTAACACAGACTGTTTTTTTTGTTATTTTTAAAGTTTTTTTGCATCATTTACAGTTGCTGAGAAACACAAGCTTCCGATAGTTTCAGATGAAATATATGCAGACTTTGTGTTCCCCGGTGAAAAGTACTACAACTTAGCGGGACTCACATCAGAAGTACCAATCCTTTCATGCGGTGGTCTTACTAAGAGGTGACAAAATGTTTTGTGATAACGATCAAGGTGGCAATCAGTTAACATTCATTTTTGTCAGAAATGGATACAAGTGTGTTCTACAGAAACAGCTCTTTTAAAAAGTTATTTTTATAAAATTGGTAAATTTATTTATTTTCAAAAATGCAAAAATGCAGTTTTTAAGAAGCATTTATACTTCAGCCAATAAGAATCAGTTCTGTGACCACCTGTTTGATTAACTAATCAAATTCAATTTATTTATATCCCTCAGGTATCTGTGTCCTGGATGGCGTGTTGGCTGGATCATTATACATGACCGAAATAATGTTTTTGAGAAAGAGGTCAGTAAATTGTTTTGTTTTTTTATTTTTCACTTGTTTAGAATTGTTATATCTGCTGCATACTGAGAGTTAAATCAATAAAAGCTTTTCCCTACAAGAATTGTTCATGATGCAATATAATTTGAAAACTGTTTTCGAGGACTCCTCATCTGCCCTATATCAGTGTAATCCCCCCAGATGATTGTAGATTAGCTCAGTGATGATCTCATAGCTTCTTCTGTTACAACAACACTGGACAATAGAGATATTTGACACTATGGTAATGTAATGTGTGGAACCAGTGAAAACTTCAGTGATTTTTGTCATTGTCAACAAAAAATTGTAATGCTGTGCATATATTAAGGATGAAGTTGATTACTGTGAACAGATTTAATATCACAAAAAACAGGAAAACAATTTATTTAGGTCACAGTGACTTTTGTGATTTTGGTAGTCATAAAATTCCGAAAATTTATAGCACCAAAAATAATATATTTCACAGTATTCATATCTCACACACTACTATGAATTGATGTGTCCGTATGCATGTTTTACTGTAAAAGCATTCATTTTTAATATTTTGATACTTGATCAAATTCTCTGGGTTTTAAATTCATAGAATTTCTAGTAAAACAACGAGTTCTATAAATTGTAATTTTAATTTTAATTTGTATAGATTAATTTATCTAGGTTTTATTTATATACATGTAATAGCAAAATTACAATAAATAATAATAAATTATTCATAATATGAAGCTTTCATGTGTTTTTTTCTTAGGTTCGGAGTGGTTTGCTGAGATTATCACAGCGTATTCTTGGGCCGAACACGTTAGTCCAATCAGCAGTAAAAAGTATTATTGAAGATACACCACAGAAGTTCTTTGACTCAACTATAGAAGTGGTGAAGGTGAGATTTACCCTGACATGTCTCTATAGCTATAACATTGACAGCCACATCTTGTAAGTTCTGTTAGCCAGTATTAAAAAGCGGTGTTTGACATGACCACATGTATTCAGCTTTTGTGTAAATAGACACTTACAAGTGTATGTTGCATGGGACCTGTATCATAAACAAGCAGGCCTCACAACAACCATCAAATTTCTACCGTAATCTGTATGTGTTTTTTTTTTTCGCATTCAAGAATAACGCACATCATA